TCTCTTATTTGGACCCTGTAATTGCTTCCTTGTCTCCCTGCTTCTCTGCTTTGCTCCCTTCCAACGTGTAGCCAGTACGAGCTGATCAGAATTCTAATCTGATTGTGCCACTCCTTGCTCACAGCCTTTTAATAACTTGTTCTCAGGGTGAACAAGATCAAATCCTTACCTGACCCACAAGTAGGGTTGTGAAATAAAATACAGAATACCCAGTCCAATTTGAATTTCAGATAACATAATTCTTTAGTGCAAGTATATCCCATGCAATTATCCATTGCTTATCTGGAATTAAATTCAACCTGGCATCCTGTGTTTTTATTTGCTAAATCTGGCAACCCTACCCACAAGGGCTTTGCAAGATGTTGGCCTTTCTAGTGAAACTTTTGTGTATATTTCAGATCTGTCTCAAAAACCATTCATCAGGTTGGGGAAGGTGTCTTATACTAAAAAGTTTTTTGTTTTTTTTTTCATTTAGATGTAAATTAGACCAAGCATATCAGAAAAAAGAGACGTTTTTGACATTTTTATATTCTGACAATGAGAGGATATGTTGCTCAAAAGAATCTAATATAGCCTGGCCAGTGTGGCTCATTGGTTGAGCGTCAACCTGTGAACCAGGAGATCACAGTTTGATTCCAGGTCAGGGTACATGCCTGGTTGCAATCCCCAGTAGGGGTTGTGCAGGAGGCAGCTGATCAATGACTCTCTCTCATCATTGATATTTCTCTCTCCCTCTCCCTCTCCCTCTCCCTCTCCCTCTCCCTCTCCCTCTCCCTCTCCTCTCCCTCTCCCTCTCCCTCTCCCTCTCCTCTCCCTCTCCCTCTCCCCCTTCTTTTTCCTCTCCCTCTCCTTTCCCTTTCCCTCTCCTTCTCCCTTCCTCTCTGAAATCAATAAAAATATATTTTAAAAAAGAACCTAATATAACACACTATCGATCCACCAGATATTCTGAATTAACTTTGTTTTTTAAACCATCCAAGCTCTACAGGAGAAAAAGCTAATTATTTGACAACTTGCATGCATGAAAATGAAGCAAGTTTTGCTGGTCTGACTTCATCTGTCCAGCTCTTTTCTTGAAACGTCGTTCTTTCTCCTTGGGATGTTATTAATATTCGCTGGAATCCTAGGAAGGATCTAAAAATTTGCATTTCTTTTATTTGTTTCCTTTGGCAAATTTGTTTCTAGAAAGGACATTTTAACCTACTTCCCAATTGTTTTTAGTGACCTCCTGTGGTTGAAAGGAAAAGACTCACTCAAAATAAACTCAAAATAAAAGGAGCATCATGTCTAGGGAATGGCCATCCTGTCTCACGGAGCTTTGGTTTCTGAGTGTCTGTAACCTCCCTTTCTCTCATGGCTCCTCAGCCGCAGCTTCCATCACCAAGTGGCAATCCTATTTTTACATGCTTGTCACTGAGATAGAATATATGCCACCTGTTTGTTTAAAGAATCATTTACTGATTTTTAGAGAGGAAGGGAAACATTGATGTGAGAGTGCAACACCAACCGCCTCCCTCCTCCCGCCACCAGAAGATTGAGCCTGCGACCCGGGCATGTGCCCTTGACCGGGAATGGAACCAGGTGCATGGGATGAAGCCCAACCAACTGAGCCACACCGGCCAGGGCTACATGCTACCTGTTGTGGCTGGTGTGGTTATACTTGAAGAAATGAAGGCTCAGAAAGATGAAGTGATTTGCCCAACAGTACACAGCATTATAGTTTTCTCACATAACACGGGAGAGCAACTGTGTTTATCGTGCTTATCAGATATACCCTCCCCCATAAAGTAGGCCTTTAAAATGTCTGATGCATGCTGTAACATGAATGTTGAAAACATTATGCAAAGTGATATAAGCCAGACACAAAAAGACAAATATTGTATGATTCCAGAATAGGAATATACAGTGTCCAGAATAGGCAAATTCATAGAGACAGAAAGTGGAATAGAGGCTATCAGGGCCTCAGGGGAGAAAGGATACAGTTACTGTTTAATGGGGACAGTTTCTGTTTGGAACGATGAAGAAGTTCTGGAAATGGGTAGTGGGGATGGTTGGACAACATTGTGTATATTCAAGGCTACTGAATTGTACACTTAAAGCTTATTCAGATTTCACCAGGTTGACGTGCTCTGTGGTTGTGATGATGTTGTACAATAGCTGTACAAGCTGTTATCACTCGGGGAGGCTGGGTGAAGGGTGACAGGACATCCACGTACATGTCTTTGTAACTTTCTGTGAATCCATCTTTATGTCAAAACTAGAGGCCCGGTGCACAAAAGTTTGTGCACTCGGGGGGGAGGGGGGGTCCCTCAGCCCGGCCTGTGCCCTCTCGCAGTCTGGGACCCCTCGGGGAGATAACGACCTCCTGGCTTAGGCCTGCTCCCGGGTGGCAGAGGGCAGGCCCAATCCCTAGGTGCAGCCCCTGGTCGGCCTCAGAGCAGGGCCGATTAGGGAGTTGGGGCGCCGCCCCGTCATGCACAGAGCAGGGCAGATTGGGAGGTTGTGATGCCACCCTCAGTCACGCTCAGGGTAGGGCCAATTGGGGGGTTGGGGCACCACCCCCTGTCACACTCAAGGCAGGGTCGATGGGGAGGTTGCGGCGCCACCCCCTGTCATGCACAGAGCAGGGCCAATCAATCAGGGGGTTGGGACACCGCCCTCTATCACCCACAGAGCAGAGCCGATCAGGGGGTTGGGGCGCCGCCACTCTCACACTCAGGGCAGGGCCGATGGGGAGGTTATGGCTCTACCCCATCACACACAGAGCAGGGCCCATGGGGAGGGGGGGCGGTTGGGGAGCTCCCCCCTATCAGGCACAGAGCAGGGCTGCTCAGGGGGTTGGGGCCCCACTCCCTGTCACACACAGAGCCGCAGGGCGATCAGGGGGTTTGGGTGCTGCCCCCTGTCACACTGATCCTGGTGCTGGGAGGCATATTACCCTTTTACTATATAGGGTAGAGACCTGGTGCATGGGTGGGGCCGGCTGGTTTGCCCTGAAGGGTGTCCTGGATCAGGGTGGGGGTCCCCACTGGGGTGCCTGGCCAGTCTGGGTGAGGGGCTGAGGGTTGTTTTCAGGCTGGGAGTGACTGAAGTTCCCAACTGCTCCTTTTTTTCTTTTTCTTTTTTTTTTTTTTATTCTGGGCCAGCTTTACCTTGAGGCTTGGCTCCAGCACTTAGGCCTCCGCGGCTGAAAGTAGGTTTCTGGCCTTTGCTTACAATGTTGCGAATCTGCTGGCTGAAGTCCGGCGGTATTTGTTACAATGTTTCTTAAACTGCCCGCTCAGAGGCCTGCAGCCCCAGGCGGGGAACTGTTGGTTTCCTCCGTCACTGAGGCAAGCAAGCCTCATGTTAGTTTCAAGCTGCCTGGCTGCCGGCTGCCATCTTGGCTGACAATTAATTTGCATATCTCGCTGATTAGCCAATGAAAAGGGTAGTGGTCGTACGCCAATTACCATGTTTCTCTTTTATTAGTGTAGATGAAAAGTTAACGCGGACACATAATACCAAGAACAAATAAGTAGACTGCAGTCAGATTCCAAACTAACTGGAGGGCAAATTTAATACCATGTCCTGGTTGCTAGGATCACTCCTTGTCCTTGAGGAGAATTTTCTCTTCTTCCGGAGTGGCTCTCATGTGGCTCATGGTCAGAGAGGATGACGCACAGGCTGCTAACCTTCCTTTTTTTGGACGGCATATGCAATCTATCATCACATTCTTTCCAAGAAGGGAAATGAAAGACGCAGGCAAGACTCAGCTCTGTCCTTACCAAGATCCTGTGACAATCTGGAGTCACTGATCCTAAAATAACAGTGAGCTCGAGTTTTTACCTTGATTCTCTCTTGGTTAAACCAAAACGAAACAAAATAAAACTTGGCAGGTACAGGTGGTTTTCAGGAAATCCTCAAGTAAAGATGCATCATTCAATGTCTGTTATCACTGAGAGTATGAAAACAAAATGACTTCAAATTGATGTTTGTTTATTCAATTAAATGCGGTTCCTTATGCTTTTGTTTCTGTAAGTAACCAAAGAACAATGAATAGTTCTGCAGTTTAGCAAACTAGAGAAGGCACTGAACGTCTAAATCAATCAGAGTAGTCCAGTTTCTTCCCCTGTATAGGAGCTACAGAACTCAATGCTGGGACCAGAGCAAGAGCATTAAGGCAAAGTACAAAGCTGCTTCTAATTTTCCCAGGAGTAGGAGAAGTAGTTAAATGTTTGGACTGGAATGGGATATCCTACTAGATTGCATGCTATAGAAAAGGAAGAATTTATGGGAGTATGGCATATTAGAGGACTCAATTAAGCAGAGAAAGTCAATCTAATAAACTTGAAAGCAGATTTTGCCTGGATCAACCACATCAGTTGTTTTCAACCTTCTGGCCCTTTAAATACAGTTCCTCATGTTGTGACCCAACCATAAAATTATTTTCGTTGCTACTTCATAACTGTAATGTTGCTACTGTTATGAATCGTAATGTAAATATCTGATATGCAGGATGGTCTTAGGCGACCCACAGGTTGAGAACCGCTGAACCACATGAAGTTACACAGACACACACACACACACACATGCATAAATATACATACATACATACACGAGGAGAGAATCTGGTGTTCCATTCGGGTGGTGTACCTACAGATTCCTTCAGGATGATTTTTCTTGGTTACCACTCACACTGTGGTCTCACCTTTGATAAGGGGAGCCAAGCACCTGTTAGATGGGTGGATGAGTCTATGTGTGTGTCCCACTGGGTTACAGACTCTCCTTGAGTATTTTTTGGCTGGATAGTTAGAACTGGCACCCAGGCTTTCCCTGAAGGCACCACACGGCTATTAGCAGGCCAGGCTTCCTTGCACACAAATCCCCTAGACCTGGGTCTAAGCACCGGCCATTGGCTTGTTTCTTCTTCCTTGATCACTTCTTTCCCATCAACCCACAAACTCACAATTGCCAGCAATCCCTTGAGACCAGTGGAGAGAGGAAGCCACACTTGGAAAGAAGATTGCTTTGTACTTTATTTACAATAGAAGGTAAGAAAAAGGAAGTTATTAACAATAATAAATAACTGGGGGGAAAACACAAAACAGCCATAAAATGACACAGAAGGATGGCATGTGTGAGGGTCACCTTTTGTTTGCTTTGCTTGTAGACTGTAACACTGTGCACTCCAAACCTTGGTCCTTCAGCAGTGGCAGTGGTATATCGACCCATTGAACGAATCAAGATCCCAGCTTGAAATGTAAACACTAAAAAATGACACTTGAAGCGACACAGAAGTGGCGTAGGCATAACAGCAACTCAAAGAACCTCTTCTTGGTGATACATAGGAACTGAAGGGGGACTTGCAATTCAATAGACATGCTTTCCCTTTTAGGCCACAACATCCCATAGCATTAACTTAACAACAAAATTATCATGAATCACATCTGAAAAGGTCTCCACATTCACATCCTCTTATTGCACTAACTCCTAAAAAGCTTAAACACTTACATTTCAAATGCAAACAGATCGTTCCGAAGGTAGAACACACAAGAACCCGGTGTTGCCTCCGTGTGCCAAGGCTGTGCGATTGCACGACATTTCAGTCTCAGCAAGAACGAGTTGTTTGACCAGTTACAGCCACACAATATATATGTTTTTTTTTTTTAATTTCAAGAATTAGGGCTCAAGATGGCAGATTGTTACCTGGCCTACTGAGTCAGATGATCAGAAAGGGACTAAAACTATTTAGACAATTCCTGTCTATTGGATTATCTAATTTCATATTACATCTGAATTATACTCTGGCCCTTCTGAAAAGTAAAATTCCTACTGACCTAAACCAGACAGTGATTTTGCTGTCTCTGAGCCCTGAAGAGCTACCAAGGGAAGTAGAATTTAAAAATGTACATAAATACATTAGCCTTGCAATTTTCACAGGAAAATGATTTCTGGAGAAGTGTCAGGATCTATTCTCTAGGCCAGTATTACAGTGCCTTGAAAGAAAACCCTGTAATTACTTGTGGGGTCTTGGGTTTTTGTGCCTGCATTGTACAACCACGACTGCGCTTAGAGATTTATTCTCACACCCAAAACATGGCTACTACAAACCTCCAAATACATTAAAACCATTCTTCCCACACAGATGCAAAATCGTAAAAGAAGGGTTTATAAATTAGTTCACCAGCGAACACATATGGTGCCTGTTATAACGATGGTGAGTGAAAAATTTCATGGCTTCCTTAGCTTTGTTTTACTATAGCCCAAAAGTAGAAACATGAAATGGTCTTCAGAGCTAACTTCTGACAAAGTGCACGCGGGAAAAACACCAAGACCCTCTGATCCTGGGAAAGCAGTCAAAGCTACAAATGCTGTACCACACACAGCCACGAAAAGCACAGGGGCGCCTGGTATTTGAAATGCACCCGAAGTAATGAAATGTACAGCCATTGTCATGGTTTTCACCAACATCAGAGATGAAGATGGTGTGCTGCGCATGTGCTATTCTGTGGATTACTTTAATTTGGCTACCAGAGACTTCAAACTGGTGGTGTTTGATTCACTATACTATATTTCTATATATGTACATACAGGTATAATACAATTTTGGTGAACAAAGTTGAAGGTTTCCACATTGCAGACAGAGGCACTGAGTTAAAGATTCTATTCCCCCCACCCCCAAACATGCTTAATTCAAGTTTCTGCTTTTTTCCTTCTTCTAAGTTTCCATCATGCAGCCATTGCATTTCCATCCTTATAGGAATTATTAAGGTTCTATGTACACATTCATTGCAGGCTTGTATCCCACAACAAACAAAGGCATGTATGGAGAATGTAAAATGACCCTTGGAAATCAAGGCAGATAAAATGGTGAAGTCACGTATGCTCACGATGATGGGATTCAATATTCAAAGCAGCTGAAGGAATATATGCACCCCCCCTGCCCTTTTCTTAAATGCACACAAACCACATGTAGACAGAAAACTGAATGTATTTTAAGCGCACACACTTTTGATGGCTAAAACGCACACTATCTTTAGCAGTCTGTAATGGATGTCCGTGGTATTGTACTGGCTGTGAGAGAAAGAAAACTCACAGGAGGAAATGAGAAATTAGTTTTCTAAAGCGGATAGGATGGTTGACCTTGCTAGCAGAAGCTACTTTACGGACAGCAATGGTATGAATGGAAAAACTAGGCATCAGATGTGTTAACAACCTGCACAAAATAGATGGGTTCCATTAGAAAATGACCCCACCCCCACTTGTGACAAAGCTGATTTCAGCTGGTAAATAAATGGTAAGCAAACACACACACACACACACACACACACACACACACACACACACACACACGATCGTTGCCTTGTGAAAATAGAATTTTGCTTTCTGAAGCCAAACATAATCCTTAAGGACTGCTGTGTGGAGAGGGAGCCGTCGAAAAGTCCAAGGGGTTCGGTAAAAGATTAAGTTTTCCCACAAGCAAAAAACCATGCTACCAAACCATGCAAAGATGTCTTACTACACTGCTATCGCGCTCTTAGGGAAGAGATGCATGTTGACCTAAGCTATTTGTAACTGGTTTCCCTTGAGTTCTGGGTTTTAAAATTTTTTTTCGAGCTAAATATCAACCTGTAGATAAAGATATGATCTTGACAGTCTGACGTATGACTTACGCTTACTTGGTGCTGGGCTCAGGGGCCAGCGCCTGCACCTGGGAGTTTGTCAACTTGAAAGACACGATGCAGAGTGCTGAGCACTTAGAGAGAGAAGCAGGCCGGGTCCGCTGGCTGAGGCCAGGAGAGAGGAGGAGGCTATGCCCCCTGGTCTGTGTGTTTCCTTTGGAATCTGTGTGGGAAGGTCCCTTTCCTGAGGTTGGAGGTTATGGAGAGGAAGGCTAGCTGGGGGCTTGGAGTTGCCCAATTACTTTGCTCTCTTCCTCTCCTGGAGGACAAAAGTGAATATAGATACTGCTTGCCCTTCCTTCTGCGTTTAAAGGCAGTGAGGTGCGAAGGTGGCAGGTTTTTCCTTTTCAGATCAAAGGGCAGTTCTCTTTCTGCCACTTTGGTGAATGAGCTTGCCTCCCGTCAACCTTGAATCTAATCTTGCATTAGCAATACTTTCAGAAAAGAAAGCTAGACGGAAGGACATGTATCTCTCCTCCTTTTTTGTTTTACAAATAGGAGTCAACAATTCTGCTCATTCTCTCCTCCCACTTGACAGTATTTACTCAACTTCTGGGACATCCCAATATTTGGATTTCAAGTAAGGAGCAAGAGAATGACAGTCTTTTCTAAGGTCCCGTGACGGGCCATCGGGTCCAGGAAGTCTGGATGTATTAAAAATAAACCCAGAGGAGTGGGGAGGGGGCGGGAAAGAGAAAAAAATAAAAAATAAAAGTAAAACCAGGAGGGAGATGAAAAACAATTCTCTTTTTTAGGGTTTCCCGAATCAGATATTCCAACAGAGTGAAAGTCCAGTTAGCTTCTCCACCCTTGAACTTTTTGAGTGAGGAAGTAGTCAATAAATTCTGCTTAATTAATTGCAAATTCTGAGAATCTTCATGGATGATAGAAGCTGACAGGTTAAGGTTTGTTGGTACCTGTAGAGAAAAAAGATGTTTGTCTCACCTGGACCTCTTGGTTCCTAACTCAACCCTTCCAAAATCTGTCAAGTTAAGGTCACATTCACCCATGTAATTCTCAAGATTTCTGAGGGCACATAGGGGAAAAGTTATTAAAAGACAGAAGCAAGTGGAATCTTTATTAAATTCTGTGAAAGGTATAAATAAGTTATCATTAATTGCACGTGGAGCCTCTGTGGGTTGATAATTAAAATTTTCAAAAAATTTAAAGTGTTAATTAGGCCCCAAATCCTGAGTCAGACTAACCAAAATAGGAATTTTAGTAACTACTGGTATTCAAGTATTGGCGATGAGCAGTTCAAAATTTAACAATTAGGTATGTTCCGCCTGAGAGTATTTTTGAGAATTTCAGGTTTAACCAGAGGAAACTGACTTCACTATTTTATCACACCTTGTACCACAGTGGTGCAAAGTTTTCATTTATTTACCCTTGAAGCCCATACCAACCGCAGCAAACGCCCATTAACAAGGCTTCCTCCCAGGCTTCCAGCTGTGGCTACAGAAGATGCCTTCTGTCTTTTGCATGTCTTACATGTTGCATCTAATATGATGCTGTGTGGCATACTTGGGGACTCATATTATATGTGAAATTACTTAACCACATGCACACTCAGATCGAAGGAACATGTTTTGAGTGACAAAGCAGTCTTTTTCTATTATTAGAAGATTCTTAAAAAACAAAACAAAACAAGAAAACCAACCCTGAAAATGAAAATATAAAACCCCATGAAATATTCATATGAAGTTATTCTGATTTGGGCCGGCATGGCCTGTCTGAAGAGGGTACGCCAGGTAAATTCAGGGTGGCATTTTTCTCAGGGTCTGGAAGCGTGAGAGTTTCTGGGGCAGACTTTTTCCGGGGCCGATCTTTGGGCACAGACAGAAACTCAGGTGCGTCTGAGGACAGAGGTGTGGACGGCGCGCTGGAAGGGGCACTGCGGACTGAAGAAGGCAGCAGGGGAATGCTCGAGATAGAAATCACAGGTGGGAAAACGCCAATTTTCTGGTTGGTGGCTTCCTGAGTGGCTCGTTCAAATTCTCGGACTTCATCCATTGTCATGTCTTCAAAGAAAAGAAAAAGATAGAAAGAAAAACGAGCAGTTATTTAGAAGACATGCAAATGGATTCATCTCTACGTCTGTTTTTAAAGGACCTATGGAACCCTATGAAAAAGGGGCCTCTCCTGATTATAAACCCAAATTATCACTAAAATGTTAAACCCTGAATTTTTCCTTTTTACAGAGGCAAAACTCTGAAATAATATTCCTTTTAGAATAGCCATCTCTAAGACTTCCCAAGCACTCTTCAGTGAGTGTTTTATGTATTCTGAATTAGAAAACATCAGGAGTGCCCAGCCGGTGTGGCTCAGTGGTTGAGCATTGACCTATGAAATAGGAGGTCACGGTTTGATTCCTGGTCAGGGCACATGCCTGGGTTGTGGGCTCCATCCCCAGTAGAGGGTGTGCAGGAGGCAGCTGATCAATGATTCTCTCTCATCATTGATGTTTCTCTCTCTCTTCCTTTCCCTTCCTCTCTGAAATCAATACATATCCTATATAATAAAAGGCTAATATGCAAATCGACTGAACTGTCCCTATGATGCGCACTGACCACCAGCGGGCAGATGCTTACTGCAGGAGCTGCCCCCTGGTGGTGAGTGTGCTCCCACAGGGGGAGTATTACTCAGCCAGAAGCCTGGTTCATGGCTGGCGAGCAGAGTGGCTGCGGTGGGAGCCTCTCCTGCCTCCGTGAACGCGCTAAGGATGTCTGAGAGACAGCTTAGTCGGACATCCCCAGAGGGCTCCAGGACTGCAAGAGGGTGCAGGCCGGGCTGAGGGACCCCCTCAAGTGCACGAATTTTGTGCACTGGGCTTCTAGTATATATATATAAAAGAAAACATCAGGAGTACAGAATCAGACCAGAGCAGTGAGTGTGTGTGTTGTGTGTATGGCTATTATCAGACCTGGCCATCTTTTCTATAAAGAGAAGGTGACTAAAACAATCCATGGCCCCAAAATTGCATACAGAGTGTGGCAAAGGTAGGTTTACAGTTGTGAGTACATGAAACAGAGTTTATTCTTGTATTATTATTTATTCATTTTTGTATTGTTTTCTGTATGAACAACTGTAAACCTACATTTGCCCGATCCTGATATATGTGTCATATAATAACACATGAGCAAATCAGAAATATTTTTCTTTTTATATATATATATATATTTTTAAAAAAATATATTTTTATTGATTTTTTTACAGAGAGGAAGGGAGAGGATAGAGAGTCAGAAACATCGATGAGAGAGAAACATCGATCGGCTGCCTCCTACACACCTCCCACTGGGGATGTGCCCACAACCAAGGTACATGCCCTTGACCGGAATTGAACCTGGGACCCTTCAGTCCGCAGGCTGATGCTCTATCCACTGAGCCAAACTGGTTACAGCAGAAATATTTTTCAAAAAACAAAATCCTTAAGCAGATTTCCTGGAAACAATTACTAAATTTTCTGAAAGGGATGTTTTGTTTACAAAGGAAATAAAATATTATGGTTGTGTTGATATAATATAAAACTCAGAAGAGAACAAGAAAAATCATACCTATAAACCTACCACTTAAAAAAGACCACTAAGACTATTAAGCTAAGAAAAGAAATTATGTCTTTTTAAAAGCAGTACTGCAAAATAAAATTGAGATTCTCAGGAAAACGTCACTGAATCGGGGTCTGTTTCTTCTCTGATAAATGGATATCATGTCGGAGAAATCGGGCTTTGTGAAAAAGCAGCTGAGCACAGTGTCCTACTCCATGCATCCAGCAGAGAGCAGAAGTCACCCAGAGGAGACAGAATTTTGATTTTACAGTCCCTTCCAGAGTCTCTCAGAAGTTCCCTTCCTTGAAGGCACTGAAACTGCTCAATTGAAAAGGAGACAATTTCCTTATTGTCCTGGTCATGGATGTTAATTTTGCATAATTTCAATCTAATTTGTTTCTACTCGGGTTGATGGTTTAAGTTTTATTGGGCACTCATGCAGTTTTTATTTGTGGTGGACAGCAGCCTCTTAATTTCAACTGTTTTTCATTATGCTGGAGAAGAGAGACAATGGAAAAATAATTCCAATTTGAAGGAATGCCACAGAATACGGGAAATGTCGCCAGCATTCAAAATAACCACACTGTGTAACTTTGGAAGAGATACTAGTAGGCATATCTCTTGCTGACGTCATGGGAACGCCTGTGAGTTGCAGCCAGAGAACCCATGCACGGGTTTCGCCTGGGGAGAACCATTCTAGGCATCACCGTCTACGTGGTAAACTGACCTAACACCAGTAATTGCAGTAAAACGGCAAGAAAACCAAGCACAGAGCTGAAGCTGAAAGCTGTAAGGACTCAGAAGGAGACCAGCTTTGTGCTTTGAATCTGAGACGTGTGGCGTCTCTCCCAGTCCTCTGGCTTCCTTTGTCTGGTCATCCTGACAGTGAGCAGCTTTCAGAGAGCGGCTGAGGGGGAACTGCTGTCTAACATTCCTAAAAGAAAAGGTAATTGAAAGTGATGAAAATTCAAGGACAGGTTCCTGAAGGAGCATTTCTAACTTTAGAACAGGGAGAGAGGAAGACAGAGGTCCTATCGGAACGGATCTGTGCAGAGAGGATCACCTGGGCTAACTCTGGTGAGAAGGGTTTTCCGCTAATCCAATCACCACGTGCAAAATGGGGAGGAAGCCTTAGGGCCATTTCAACCTCAAGGGCAGTCACGTGGATCCAACAGCGGGCTTGCAGGGCACATTCCAAAGACATGCTCTAAAAACTCAACTCAAGATTTCCAAAGTGCAACCAAAGGTCTTCACAATTCCAAAGCATCCATTTACAATAGCCATCTCTCAATCTCCTACAACTACAGCATCATCAGTTTCTTGAAAATCTAATTAATGTGTTACTCTGGGGCATGTGAGCTCAAGCTGCCACCCAGAGATCCCAGCTCTGGCCAAAGGCACATACAAGTGACTCAGAGGTTCCATTTTTCTTTGTCATCTGTAGCTCCTCCTCGTTAGCATGAATACAACTGTATGTAAAATGCTGGCAGACACCCTACAGTCAACTCTCAGTTTCCCACGTGCCTGGGAATAACCGGAGGCTCCCTGGGGCTTATCTGACGCCCCAGGCTAGATCTGGCAGAGTCCCCACTCACCACACCGTCACTGTGCTGCCAGGTGCATGAAGGGATCAGAGACCCACCTGGACATTCACCTAGCACAGATGAACCCAATGGGTAAAACAGCTATAAAAGGCCATAGAAAGCATTTCAGAGCAAATGTAAGGAAACCTAAAAGACCGGATGGGTCAGAAGCCTTCCCTTGAATGAGTAACTGTTACCAATGTTTTCAAAAGTTCTGGTTTTCATATGACCCCTGCTTTTACCCCTCTTTTCTCTTCTGGTGCAGGCCAGGCCTTCACTAGTCCCACAAAATGTTTCCACTCTCCGTGTTCTTGGCTTTATGACTGGAACACCCTGCACGTCAAGCGGCTTTAAAGACTCAAAATATCTGCGAGTGAGAGGTTCTTTCCCAATAGCCCCTGGGCGACGACGCTCTCTGTGGGAGCCTGAGAACTGAGCGCTGGCAGTACTTCACAGATCAGCTGATCTGCACGTTTGGTAAAGGGAGGGGGCAACATGTTTTAAAAATTCTACATACACTTGTTTGGGCCTGGCTCTCTATGTCATCCACAGTGGAGGAATGCTGATTGCAAACTTTTATGTTGGTTTGTTCATGCATGTTTTTCTCGTATTCTCGAACATCGTCCATTGTCATATCTGAAAGAAGGTCAAGACGTTGGCAACTTCCGTTATTAAATGCAAACTTTCAATGGGGAGACTTTAGGGGAAAGATGGGAGCTTAGCAGAAGCCAAAGAGAGGTTTAAAAAGCAGGGGATCCACTAACTTTATGGAAAGCAAATCATAAAGTTAGCTAAACCAGCCAGAGGGGCAGTGAGTACAAGGAAGGGAACTCCAAGTAGTCGTAGAAAGGGAAGAGTGGACATGTTTTAGGGGTGACTCCTGTGAAGTGAGAGCTAAGTGGGTGGAGTAGGAGCGCGTGGGCAGTGCCATAGCCTGAGATCTCCTAAAGCAGAGTTAGAAGATCCCTTCAGGGATGTGCTCAGCTGTGTTTGCCTTAAAACTTACCTGCCATAGACCTTTCCAAAGAGGTTCTGTAAATCAGTGCATTCGACAAGGGAAAGGACACTTTCATTGCTATTGTAGGAGACGTGACGTAGAAGGCACGGAACGATGTTCATGGGTGTAAGTGAGATTGGGTGCAGTGCTCACACACACAGGTGAGCTTTTGCACAGGACGCGTGGTGTCAGAGTGCAGGTCTACACTGAACTCCAAGTCTAGCCTAAGAGCTTGAAGGTGGCTGGCACTACTTACACCCACACTTGTCTATAAATACAACGGCACATGACATTATGATTTTTGGCCTGAGTCTGCAGGTTTTCAGGATTCAGGATAATGATCTGTTAATCTAGTGGTTCTCAGCGGGGGGCAATTTTGTGACATTCTTGATTGTCACAATTGGGATGCCACCCTTCCTCCAACAAAGAATTAACTACCTGGTCCAACTGTCAGGGGTGCTGAGGTTGAGAAACACTGTCCTAACCCAACTGATAAAAAATTTAAACACGGAACCTGTCCAGTTTCAGTATGTGAAGTCCAAAAACGTAACAATCAGTCTCACTTTAAATACTTTTGTTGTTGTACCCCCCACACTCACCTTACTCCTCTGGCTATTTTACTACAATTTATCAACAACTGTCCCAGATGGGCATTCTTCCGTTGCTCTCACGGCCTCACGGCAGAATTTAACTTCACGCCTCTTTACAATAAAGGTATGCTGAGCAATCGTTAATCGACCACCCACCCTGGTCACTAATTAACTTGGAGGCTTAGAGCTGGTATTCACAGCTGGAATGGTTCCTTACATATTTTCTGCAGCATGTGGTTTGCTGTCTTTTTATATCAATCCATGTGTGTCATGTGAGATTCTCTTTATTTCCAAAAGGCAGACTCG